GTAATAATTCAGGCTCGAGCAACCTATCTAATCATTGCATGTCGACAATCTTTGCAACACTTTTGACATCAAACAAACACCGAGCTTGTTTAATGCCTCAGATTGAAACCCCAACTGAGCAGCACGAAATCACAACATCTTGTACCATATAAAGGATTGTAAACCTGCGCTCTTTTACCACTAGTTCATGAAACAAGACGACGGTTTCAGGATTGATCGACGTTGGTAATTTGTGAAAAGAACACGTCAGCTTGCTTCAGAGCGTGGGCTTGTGCCCACTCGAAAAAATCGTTTTGTAAGGCTTGGTGAAGCATGTTGTCCTCCGACCGGGTTTCATTGAGAAATGCAACTCGTCAACTCCTCAAAAAACACCCCAAAATCTGTTCTTTTTTCATACCGACGAAAATATACTGTTTTTCAGATCGCACAGTAGCAAAATAGAGTAAGACACGAACATTGCGTTTGCAAGCAAGTTTATTACTACACTTCTCAAGGATTCTTATATCAGTTTTACATAACATTTTTCCGCGACCTTTCTGAACCGCTGAGATATATGGATGATTCTTTTTTATGAATGTACACCATCTAATTTTATGATGCATTATGTTGATGCTATAGGCAACATCAGTTTGATCATCTTTTTTTCAAAAAGTGCTTCAGTGAATTCGAAAGTCTTTCAAAAATATTTCTCGTATATTGATCAATGTGGTGACAATGAGCTGTACAATACTGCAATGCTTAACCGTCAACAGTGAATGGTCGTTGAATTTGAATAATAAGCGTCGTTCATCTATTGAGCAATATTCGGTTATGACCAAAAGTCACTCCGATTTCACTCACTTTTGTATTACCGTTCATTGAGCACTTCGTTTCTTTTCTGCACAGCCAAAAATGTTCCAAGATTTAATTCAGTGAAAATAATTCAGTTTAAATTCAAATGCAATGGAACGCTTTAATACGAACACGAAGAAATATGATGAATAGATGTGTGTTACTGTTTTATCGAGACTTGCAGTTTTGAACATTTTATTAATTAACTATTCTATTCCGTCCCAATGCATCATTCAAGCATTAAACTTCTCAGCATTCAGCATAAACAGAAATCTGATTAATGATCGTGGTGATATTAAGCTGAAAGAGTTGTCATATGGATTGGTCTTGAAGCAGACATTGTGTAAACATCATCAAAACGCCAAAACGAAATGATGCAAAGAGATGGTGGGAGGCAGATGCGCTGCGGCGGGTCGACGGGCGAATTGCTATTGACTGCATAGAAAACGATGCCAATGAGTGTGCGAGATTGATTGCTTTCACTGAGCAATGGCTTGGGTTCGTGTTGCAAAGCTTTTGAAGGGTGCGGATGTCTGATGTTTGATTCCGTAATGATGTCGATTCACCACTTCGCGATCGTGAAACTTATTGAACTCTCAAAACTGACCTTATTTACGGAAATATTCCCTTTGTTCCCTTGTCGTGCGTGTTACGTGTTACGTTGTATCATGATAATATCAGTGGACCTGATGCAATAGTGATTTTTTTATTTGGAGTGGTGAAGAATAACCTCAGTCAGTTTCAGATTGTCATGGATGTGGATCCAGGCGTTCAAGAAGATCTAGAGGAGGCGGCACAGTTGAGTTATTCATCCAAGTAAGGCTTTGTGTTATTTATAGATCGTCAAGATAACGGAATATGTCAGCACTGTATTGTGCGTTCTATAAATTGTTGCTCGAACATAAATGAAATCAGTAAAAATATTTCGATTGCAGTGAAGAACTCAACAATCTCCTATGTCGTTATAAATATGGAATGATCGGCACGCTAAATGAACTAAGTGAAATGGTGGAAAAGGCTATCGGCAAAAAGTATTCCCAATCGACACTCGCACGGAAGGTGCAAAATCTGGTTGGTTTTTATTTCAGTTTGTTTCGTAACATTAGTCTTATCAGTTTTTTATTTCACATTTTGGTGACCGAAAACCGAGAATGTTACATTTCTTATGGAATACGCAAAAAATTTTCATTGCAGGATAAACTGATGCAGAAGGAAATGGAACTGGGACAGCAACCACTTGAGCAAATTCGGTATTCTTTATACTCTGTATAAACCGGTTCAGAAGTTCATTGTGCAAGGAAAGTTCGTAGCTCATAGGTCAAAAATCTTTGGAATGGAACCGCGCGTTAATGTGCAGTCTCAGTATTGAAAGTCCATGTATNCCTCTAGAAATTGATCTGCAAGATGCACTGTGTCAAATTTTAACATGTCATACCGTCATAATATTGTTAATGTAGGAGAATTTGCGTAAGTGAAGAAGAAATTTTGGAATCACATAGCTGATACGTGATTTTAGAGAGAGTGGACAGAACGGCTTTTGTGGATATTTGACGTTATCGCAAAGGCTCAACAACTCACTGATAACACTTCCCGAGCCAGGTGGTTATCGTCAGTACGTACGCTCGAAACAGACCAGAAGTAACAGATGTGAATATTACCGTTGCAATAATTGTCATAAAGTGAAGCGCAAAACCGGTTATGGTCGTATATCATATATACGTATACGAGATGGAATCGTTCTCAGAGGTAGATCGTCAGCACATCATCCTGACTGTAAAGTGCTTAATGAAACTGATATTATCGCTACGCAAATGGATCGACAGTCACGGAGAGAGATTCTAGATGGCAAAGATCCGTATGATGCGTATCGAAAGGTTGGTTGAGTAAGCACCTTGTATTATTTGTCATCCGATTTATGTAGTTCTTACTTGTCGGTTTCATTATTCTCGTCGATACAAGCCGAGTTTATGTGAATGGACAGTTTATACGTTCAGATGATTATATTTTAATTCGTACAATGCCGCAAAGACCCACAATAATTTCATCTAGATGCACAACTGTTGAGCTGATCCATTTGCTTCTTCCTCAATTTCTCAACTCTGATGAGTGAAGGCTGAGAAAAATAAATCCTTTTTATGAGTATCTAATTTCATTCCGAAAAATTTCTGTGATGAATTTCAATTTTAGAACTTCGAGAAAGCAGTGGAACTAGCCGCGACATTTGATGAGAGTAGCAGTAACAGTAAAAAGTTCAATGTTGCAACAACATATCCCTCATGGCGTAGCGTTTGTAAAACCTATAAGCGTATACAACGTAAAGGGTATGCATCTCATTCATAGTGCTGTTGGAAGTAGTAAGACAAGCTTTCATGTAAAGCCAAGATCAACTGCTTCATGATAATAGATAACGATCGAACGCTAGTTCAGATAATAATCACAAAAATGGAATCGACTTCGTTCAAACAGTCAAATTTTAAGGAAACTGGGAAGGTTGTCCAAGAGATTTTATCTTTATTCGTCTTTTGAACCACATGCAGGCTTGCTTTACAATGATATTGGAACGTACTTTCGTGAATCAAAAGCCATCCGAAAAAATCTTTGACTTGTGCTTGGACAAGTTTATTCAGTGAATTAAATGTTCAGTAGTTTTGTTCTTAGTTTCATTTCATTATCATATTTCAGAATGAAGCAGAAAATGGGGGGTAAGGGGGAAATGGGGGAGTGCAGTTACGAGATCGGTGAAGAAAGCGATAATTCGAAGGCTGAAGACATCACTCCAGATTCTCATAATGACGATTCGTTTGTGCGGTCAACCTCTTCAATGACTTCGTCTGAGAGAACTTGTGAAATGGATAATTCAAACGCAGTTGTAGAACAAATCTCTGCTGGATTTTCTAAGCTCGACGAAGTTTCGTCATCTCCTGAAGAAGCAGTTGACGGAACGCCAGATGGAACACTTGAACAGTTATCAGATGAAGAGATTTCAGTGGATGATGATAACATCTCAACAACGAATAACGAAACAACCGGCCAAAAAATGCCTGGAGGAGATCAGCTATCAGAGTCGAATAAATTATTACCGTCAGAAACGAATGATAACGATTCAAATTTGCCAGTTGCTCACTTGCTAGAGTCCAGTCAGCACACACTTGATGATACATCCAACATTGATGACTCATCTTCTTCACAGTCGCACCCACTACCATCCACTCGAGCAGAGTCACGTGACAGCAATGACAGTAATGAAATCGTTGGTGGTGACAACACATCTAAAACAACTAATGAGGCACATCCGAAGCATTTCCTCAAAAGAGATCCCCAAACAGGTCGTCTTGTACTATGCAAACGTTTACCTCTGAAAAGAGTCATGCATTCATCGTGCATTCAGCAGTCTTTCTTGAATAATCATAAATACGATCAGAAATCATCAGTCCATCAGGATAACTCATCTGATGAATTCGCCTCTAGTTCATTTGCAACTGGTGTAACAACGAGATCGGCCACGAGAGCATATCAATCTTATGCACAACAAGCATCACAACCACCTGCTAAGAAATCGCGTTCAAATAAATTGCTGAAGAAGGAAATTGTTGATATTGTTGATTCAAAAAGTACACTTGCTGGAAGGGTGGATAATTCAATTAGTGGCGATGATAACGATGCTATTCGTTAGTTTTTTTCGATTACTTTTGAATCTTTGCTTTAAACTCTTGATTTGAGTTTTCGGAATGAAAACGAATATCGGAAAAACTTGTCAAATTTGATTAATAGATTACAGTTGTTTCGTTGTTTCATTTTATTTGTTATTATCGATTTCAGTCTAACTCTAAGTCCTTGAATGTTTGAACGGAATAATTTTTTATCGGTTGAACATTTCAGTTCGATTATTAGGCGAGGGCATTCGTGAAATAGAAGCTGTCAGTAAACGTCGAGCGCAACAGTTGAAAATAGATTTACTAAAGATGATGAGCAGATATCGATGCTTAGTGCAGAGGAGTCAGTAGTGCATCCAGTGGCAACGATTTTTAATCATTCATAAAATAATTGAATATGAATATTTTATTTTTAAGATTTGAGTGACTATTCTGTTGCTTGATAGGGTACTACACTTTCGTTGAGCTAAATGATTGATTTGAGCACAACACTTCATCGTGCACTGCAAATTCGATTCATTCATACACTTGTAACATACCTCGATACTGTTCATCATAGTCCATCTTACTTCCCTTCAATTATTCCGATCTTCTGATATAGTTTCCTTCTCATTTTCATTTATTCTATAACTACATTTCAGTAACTTTCTTCTAATTCCTCAAACCTTTATAAAGGTAATTTCGAAGTTAATCAATGGTTATTGAAAAGAATTTTTGCGAATAGTGAATTTACATTTGTATAATTTACATAATCCAACGATTCGTTTTCTTGGACAGTCTTTGTGGCCAAACTAAACTATAGTTATAAAATCGACTGAGAATGGCTCGAGTGTAAATTGTCTTCCAACTTTGTAGAAATCTTATGATGTATTTTTCTTATTGTTTCTTTTATTACTCTTCCGTATTGATGTTCTTCTAGCAGTTCGTTTTCTTCATACCGAACAGTTTCTTATTGTTATTTTATTTATATTCTTATGCTTCATTCATTAACTGAGTGTACTAAAATTCATCAGAAGTGTTTATTTGATTTTATTTTCAACTTACTTTATCCTTTTTCTCTGCGGCAAAGCATTAGTAATGATTTGCTATTTACCGCTGCAAAATATTCTCTCCAATTATGTTCAGTTTTCTCCTATTAACGTTGTGCTTCACTGTGGTGATATGAAATAAAGTTTCACTGAAGGTGATTCTTTTGACTGTTAATATCGGCGTTTATGATTCGCTCAATACATTGTAAATAATTCTCAAGGAGTTATTTATATCGCGTTTGCTTAATTTGTTCTTAAGGCATGTGAAAGATATCAGTCGAAGTTTTTTCAGCAAATAACATTTTCATTTGCATGAGTCATCATTGTGACAGATAATGTATTAGTATTACAGATATGGTGAGTAATGAGCGACGATAAAAGAAAACAGAGGTAACTGCTTATCGANTATTGTGAGATTCGCTCGTTACGAACAGCATCAACTCGCAATTCTATTTTTACATTATTCTTGTTAATGATACTACCTGTTTTAATGTTGCGATTAGTATAGCTATTATGATCGTTGCCATTGTTATTGTTCTTTTGTTTGGTTTATATGACCGCCATCTAAAAAAGCAGTGTATGGCTTGGGAAAGACAATAATTTCTTGATTATTTTGAATTTCCCTGCTAACTTCTGAAAAATGCATTGCAGTGACGTATTGGAAAGAGTAGTAACTGGTTATGGTGATGAATTAGTAAACGTGATGAAGGAGGTATCTGAAATACAACGGAGCGTGGACGGAGCATCATATGAAGCGGTGTCGACGAGTGCATCTGATGAGGTAAGTTGCTTTTATAAGATTCAAATTGTTTCGGAAGTAGTTCAACACTAAATTGCGTTGTGTAAAGATCAGAGAAAAGCGAAACTGCTCCAAACATACCTCAAAGCATCCTCACAACACTTGCGCCTTCCAACTTTTAGATAAACGAGATCGGTGAGGAGAATTTTACGCTTTCAAGAAAACTGCAGCGAACAATTTTGAATATCAAAGAAGGGAGTGGATATGTGCGTCAGTATCGAAAGAGACACACCAATGAAGAAAGGAGTTTGGAGCAGTACATGTGCCAGACATGTTTCAATTTGCAATGGAGCGGAAGGAATCTTCTGGAGTTACCGGTGGTTCGTGTCAAACATGGAAAGATTGTCGGTAGCGCACATCCACTGCATGATGAACGCTGCGAGCCAGTCAAATTAGAGGAGGCAATAGCGGTGGCCGAAGACCGCGAGGGTCGATTGCGCGTTCGACAGGGCTTGCAGAAACCGCGAACTGCTTTCGAGGAGGTAATGTTCTCATTGCACGGTGGAAATACTCGTTGAGATTTAATCGCTTGCAGGCATACAAAAGATGCGTAAATGCTGATGCGCAAAGATATCTTCCTGACTGGAACAGAGTGAAGAGTGCATATTACCATCATCAGAATGAAGGCAAGAAATGTGATTCGACTTCATCATCCANCTCGAACTGTTCAATGAAAAGTGGTACAGTGACATTGCAAAGAGAAGAAAGGTAGATCAGAATTACTCGATGAGTTTCTTGCTGATGTTATATCTAACTGTGTGTTAAATTAAGGCTATGAAAAATTTCAAGATTTTTTCTTCGTTCGTTTGTAGCTATTTTCGAGAGTTGCGTTCAGTTGGCAGTCATTTTGCAGTCTAGTTTCATTATGCAAAGAACATAAATGTTGCAGTATGGAGACAAGCATTTGGTGGAAGTGTGACTTTGTGTGCAGTGATGAATTGGTGTCTCAGTTATCAACAATTTAATGTTTTTAAAATATTTTCAGAGCCGAAATAACGTCGGGATATGATGGAGGTGAGAACAAAGAGGGTGAATGTAGCACTGAAAAAGACCATGGAATTAGTGATACGGAAATGAAAGAGATTAGTTCAGATTTTGATAATTCCGTTCTACAGCCAACGTCCGCGTTGAAAGCGTCTTCATTGAATTTATCAGAGAGTAGCTTAGAGGAACTGGAAACGGATGGTGCGAGCAGAATTTTAGAAGATGATGCGGGAGGATCCTCCAATCCCGAGGAAGCTTCATCAAATGTTAACGAAGCAGTCGTCGGAACACCGCCAATTGATAAAATATGCAATCAGACTTCCCATAGAATAGATGAAGTGGCACAGTTACAACCGATTCAACAAGTGAACTTCACTGAGAATGTCAGAATTGATAATCAATCGGAGTCACCAACTGCTCAAATGCTACAATCCAATCAAAATTCATCCTATGAGGAAGCTCACTCTGATGAATCGTCTTCTTCACAATTGGCACATCCCAATCCGTCAGAGTCACATGATAATGATGATGGTAGCAATCAACTCTGTACGGATAACGAGCCATCGCAAGTGATCAATAAAAGATCTCCACAAAAAAGGAAATGCTCAAACATTGACTCAGAACATTTTATGAAGAGAGATCCTCGAACGGGTCGTATCGCCTTATGTACACGAGTACCTGTTTCATCTTCCATAAAGAGACCTCTCCTAATTGAGCAACAGCAATCACCCACACCAAATACCCTATCAAAAAAATTCACTCGTAGTCCTCTTGGTGCTGTTGTAAAATCAAAGCCAAACAACAGCATATCGAGTTCTTGCTGTACGCCTCGGCGCGTCGTCAAGAAGTCACTTGTAAGAGTGAAAGAAGAAGACAGGATCATTGTCGTTGATGACTCAACTGACAGTTCAGTGGAGAAATGTGATGCCAAAACGAAGCACTCAGTTATTCGGGATGATTGCGATGCCATTGGTCTGTTATTTCGCTCGTTTTAACATCATCATTCCGAAGCGAAAATCCAGAAATTAATGTGTTTGGTTGTGAAATGAATTAGCTTTATGAAAACACAACTCATAGATCTTTTAGATTTCTTCAATCAAAAGAACAGAAAAAATTTTGGAATTTTTTGAAACCTCTAAGCAGCAAGTTTTGAGAAGAGGTACGAAAGAAGCATATATCAGTGCAGTTTTTCAGGGCATGCGTTAGCAAATCTCATCCGAGAAGTTGAAGGCATCGATAAATGTCAAGGAACAAAATTGAAAATTGATATTCTCAGGACGATGAGTAGATATCGTTGCTCAGTGCGTTATGCTCAGTGATTTGTTCGGTTGTGAAATGTTTTGGAGTTGCTTTCAAGACACAAGAGCCTTGCTCGAGTGAATTTTGTAGAAGTTGGACGGTGCTTTCATTTGTACACCGAACGATAATGGTGTCATTGTACATTAGCTTGAATAGCACAATTTGAAGAAAACTTTATAAAGTGCTCTATTTTAAATTCATAAACCATAAACAAATAATTCATAAAAATGTGAACTGATTGTGCCCATAAAATTTCCTAGTATTCTTTTAATCGCTCTCGTGATCGATTATCATGCCTTTTGAATTAGATCGTATGCGTTTTTAAATCCATTCTCACCGAGATTAATTCAAAATCAACCAACATGGAAATGAATTTATTGGAGTAACGGGTTCAGTATTCATCATACAACAACTTTTCGTTTTTCGAAAGTTCGCTACGAGCTGTTCTACTTCAAGTTGAAATTTGTAACGATATCGCCATTCCATCGCACAACACTTTTTTCATAAGATGATTTCGTTGTATATCGAATTTGTTTCATTTGCTGCCAATTTTTCAATTGCTCAATTCTAATTATTATGTTACCATTGTTGGATGGCAAACAAAATGCCTAATGCTGTACTTCATTTTCGATTAAGTTTTGGTATTTTGATGTATTTTATTGTAACGCATTTCTGTGATAAAATTTTGTGATGATGATCGCTTTTTAATGCTAATATCTGCGTTATTAATCCGCTGCATATCTTTTCTCGTTGTCACTTCACTGTTCTCTTTTCACTGTCCATCCCAAAAAGTATCGCACTTTCGATGTTTGATTGAAGTACAAAGCGATAGCATTTAATTGTTTCACGCATTTTTCTTCATCTTTGATAGGAAATTTTGCTGTGTTCAATTCTTTGGTTTGGTGTTTTGGCGCAGTCGTCGAAAGATCTCGAGAACGTTTCTTATCTTAAGAAGGAGTGTCATTTTCAGGAAGTGCATTATTGATTTCAATATGGACACCGAACAGCCAGTTGAAACGAAACCACCGTTCGTTGCTTTTTGTTATTTTTTCTCAGCTTGTTATAATTTTATTGTTTTAGAGAACTGTACAAATATGACATCTTTCAATTAGCCTTTGGAGTAGTTTGTTCAGCACTTTACTTTCACTTATTGGTCAAGTCATTGAATAGTATCGAATTTAGGAAGTTTTATTGATCAAATGAATGCTCGGATCTGACTGCTTGTTGTGTTTTGTGTGAAAGTTGTGTGAAACAATACATTTTATACATGTGATATCACATAGAACAAACTGTGATCAGTTGTGATCACTAAGTGTGTATGTCCCTTTGCCATATAAACTTACGCAGTTTCAGCGCTGAGGAAGCGAATAAAGTGTATTTGGGATTGTCTCAAAATCTTAAAACTGATGCGTTGATTATCTACAATGCGACTGGTGATGCTCGAATGTACAGAGCTTCATTTCATCGTAAAAATACCAAATACTATCGGTAAAATTTCACACATTTTTACTGTTTCATTGTTAATTCTTTTAAAAATTATTGTATTAGTTGGTTTCTGATTGGATATGATGAATTTCAAATGAAATAGAACTATAAAATATGATTATTAAGTGAATCGGTGGCTATTTGATTGTTATTGCCATAATAAGATTTGGACTGTTGCCGTAATGAGTGTGGTTACAGATGTAGTAGATGTGACACAATCAGACGCAGACGTCATGAAGGTGAAGTGGCCAAGTTGAAGGTTGTTGATGGCGTTGTGAGTGGTAATAAATTCCCGAGACATAACCCTGAATGTGTGCCGTTGCGTTACGAGGAAGTGCAGGCGTTGATGCTGGACAGAAGTGCGCGGCGAGAGGTGAAAGGACTGAAGTGTAATCCAAAGGATGCTTGGCAAAAGGTCACTTCTCTTTTTCAATTCCTGAAACTTTGTGCTCATTCACCTCATACATACTGTTAACTGTATACAAATATTTTTGTACACGCATGTGTTGGTCAGCATTTATAACGGCTTTCCGTACGTCTGTAAATTTATTAGGGTTTCGAGCGAGCAATCGAACTGGCATCGTCTTCGCAAGCCCCGCCGGGTAGTAGACTGAGTATCGCGACCACATACCCATCATGGCAACGTGTTCGTAAATCCTATACCTCGATACGTCTGAAAAGGTATTCGAATGTTTTATATATCTGTAAATTGTTGTTGTTAAATTTTATGAAATAAACAATTGGAATACATTTCGTGACGTCGTATGGCACCCAATTCGATAGTTAATCAAACTCTGTGTTGCTTTTATAGCAGCATTATTTCCCTATTGAACATGTTGGAAATGTTTGTTGAGTACTTTTTGTTTCGTGCCATTAGATTTGAAATGATATGTCAGCGTTTTGCCACTGCACTGGTGGCAATATACCGACATAATATTTCGAATAGGTAAGTTTACACAGGTAATTTCTTTCCCTACTTTAATGCCATAACTGAGGGCCGGATCAAATTGAAGAAGTGAATCCTAGGCTAAGCTTGAACCGACCGGAATTGACCGTGCAAATATTTGGTCCTCAAGTATTATTTTCGCACATTCGCAAGTGGCAAAAGGAACGTTCAGCTTGAAATTGTGTCATATATTTGGACAGATAGTTGCACGTTGTCACCATATGCTCTGGGGTTTTTTCGTCACTGACGGGGTCATTAATGTTCGAGGTGTGCAAACATGGTGTTTGTGGGTGTGAGCGATTCAGCAGTTGATTTAAGTGAAGTGTCATTGGATAACGCTCGTGAATAATAGAAATTTGCTCTGATCGAAGATATGAAATGTGGGAAAAATGGAAATTGTAGGTTGCGACGAGCTGCAGCGAATAATTCAGAGATGAAGCGTGGTGGAATGAATGAGGATGAGGATGATGAGGAATATATGGAGAATGAAAGCAGCCGAAGAGTGGCACGTCGTCGTCGAAGTCAACAGTCAGCGAATCAGCGCGCATCAGATGAGAACGCAGCAGGACTGTATGTGAACGCAACGAACACACCGTCGTCATACAGATCAGATGAAGGTCAATCACCGAACTCTTCATCGCGGCTCATGACACCTCTGGAAACCATCGATGTGGTCAATTCGGATTCCGATACCGAACGCAACACATCGCATCGCCCATCTGCACAGATGTCAATGCGTGCCGCAACACACCACGCAATCAAATCACAAATGCCTGATCAAGATGACGAGGATGATAATGAATCGATAGTGGTGCATGACGAGACCGGTATTCACGGCACCATCCTAATACCAGTACCCGATCATCCACCAAGACGCAATCCGTACATGCACATACCCGAGCAACCACATCGTTATCATTTGAGACAACACCATCAACAACCACAACAAGTTGCTCAAGAAACGATTATCGTCGATAACAGTGGTCTAGAGCCTGAGCAAGAGGAAGCGGAAGAGGACGATGATGGAATGGAAGGACAAGAGGAGGAGTCAAAAGAAGCAGTGATGGCTGCAATCGGTGCTCATCCAGACCTGAACTCATCTTCTTCATCGATGACTATCAAGGAGGTGCTGGCCGCGAGAATGGGTCTGAAATTGACGAACGATAGACGTGCGGTCACGAGAAATGCTGGTGCCAGAAGAATGCAACTTCACAGCGAGATACAGATGTCGAATCGTAATCGAAGTTTGAATCAGCAATATGATGACGATCTGCAACAGCAAGGGAGTCAGTATAGCGATGATACGGAAATGCGATTGGAATTGGAGTATAAAATGAATGAGACGATATCAGCAGCAAATTCGCTCATCCAACGTTTCGACACCATCAATCGTGATGAATTCGCAGTTATTGGTGTGTTTACTTTCGTTATTTATTTCATTATGCGTTTGTAGTATCTGTTCTTTTTGTAATGAGGAGCTTGTTTGTGGAAAGCATGAACGAGTGTCTGATATGAGCTTTAATCTATTTCGAATGCCAGCATAATCATTCGATTCAATAATTGAATCTTCCATCTGAAATTAAAAGGTAGAAAACTTACTGTTTTCGTAAATACGGGATCAATCAGGTACATCATGTCATCTCTGTTTTGTCAGAGGAAGACGAATCGAATACCAAGGCGGTAATTCCGGTTGATTTTACGAAATTTTATCAATGAATTTTGGGAGGTATATACATACATAAATAGAGTGAGTTCGTTTTGGGAATGGTAATGAACGAAGAGTGGATTTCAGGGGAGACGGTTGCAGATTCGTTACGTGATGTGAGTAAAATGGATGTGAATGCGCTTGCACAATTCAAGTTTGAGATATTCGATATCATCACTAAATATCGCAGAAATGTTCTCCTGAAAACTGATTAATTTGATCGTTATTTGTTAAAGTTTCGAACACTCATTGTTGCTGATATTTATCAGTGTTGAAATTAGATGATTGTCTGTTGAATAATGGACATAGTCGGTAATAATTCAATGTAAATGTCACCTGTCTGTTTGGATTAATCGAATATTTTGAAATTGAAGGCTGGAGTTGACTTTTTCTGAAGCGTGAACTAATATGGAATTTCTTTTCGATTCGTAGTGGTTCTATTATTGTTCAGTTGTCCTAATTTCAAACTATATAGCTGTATGGAATTTGTTAGCATTTCAGTAAATACATAACAGTTCAGTAGTTTGCTTATACGTTGTCTTCGTCGAGGTAATTAAACATCAACGGAGGGTATTCCAATAATGAGTTACGCAATTTCAATAATCCATGAAGATTTTTGAAGCGATCCAGTTAAAGTTGTCTGGTTGGCATTCGAAAGAAACGCTGCGTAATATCATGTCATTTCCTTAATGGTGCAGTACAAATGTCTTATCGTTAGTAATTTTCAATCGTGCTCTCGTATTCATTTTATACTGGACTTCGTCATGCGTTCGATTATGTTGTTGTGCTATTTTCATAGTCAAACTGATAATGTATCGATTTGCATACGGAATCATTTTCATGAAACGTTCTTTAATTGAATGATTCACCTATATTATCGTATCATTTGCAAGGTGTTTTTATAGAGGAGAATAGTGGAAGGGTGGGATTGTTTTTTTATTAGATGAACGTATGTTAGTATATCATTCAGCGAAAGGTGATTGCTGATTAAATATTGGTGATAAGAAGTGAAAATATGCAAATAGATTCACTTGATTGAGGGCATCATCGAAATATGAAAAACTTGTGAGGAGAATTAGGGAATGGGATGTGTGAGAGTGCTGAAAGGAGTCCGGAACGCAAAAGTTTGTTTCCTTCGTTTCAAAGTTTCGTTTGACCATTTTCTCAAATCAGTATAATTTTGAAAGTCGCGTATTTTCTTGGTGAGAAATGACTGAAATTATAATTTCTGAATTTGAAATCGTTAGCGTTTGTTCAGTGAGAAATTAGGTGAATAGAATTGAGAGTGCAGAAGATGAATTATTTGTTTCGGTGGTTGCTTGTTCGTTGCAATTATTAATGTAACATTCATTATTCACTATTATCAATTTTATGTTTCGTTATTGTAATTGGTTCATTTCAACACCAATCGAAATTACATATTTCAATAATTGTTTTGACTGTTTCTTTTCATTCGTTAATGAATCACTTTATTCGTCAGTGTATTTTTAATCTTTGTTTATGATATGCATCTTGATTGAATTGTACTACTTGTTGATACACTTGAAAATGATACCTTCTAATGGATTTCGGAAAGAGGTTCTTGCGAAGTTTCACTGTTGAAACAGTGTCCACTTGAAGTGGGTTAAGATCGGTAGAATGAAGTATCTTTGTTCAGTGAACGGGAAGGGAATTTGGGTTAGTTCGCTTCAACCTTTTAGAATTGGGTGTTATTGGAATTACGAAAGTTGTTGGAGAAGATTCGTTCAATAGTTGAAAATAATGAAGAGCAGAATCACTTGAAGACGTATCTGATCGCTTCCTTCCCGTTATCTCCGAAAAGTTCTCGTGTTTTTGGTTTTTGTTCCAAGTTTAGTTTTTGATTCCTTATCAACTATAACTTAATTATTGTTCTTTAGTATACTATCTGTGTTTCGCATTCGTTTGCTTTATTCCGCCTTTTGCGATTCACTGAATAAAATGCTTGGAAATGTGATGCTTGGTAATGATTAAAATTCCCTCGGCGTTTCGTTTCGCTCTGCTCAAAAAGAGAATCGAATTCATTGTGGAATAAAGGTTTGTGCAATGTAAAAAAATGCGTGCGATTTCACAATTGCAGTGGTGACAACTGAAGAAATTACTTTAGTGGAGTGTCGAGTATGACATAAAATGCGACGGAATTGAAAATAAAAAACTGGTGGCAGGCTGGCCTAAGTACGTTACACCACAAGCGAGCAAAATTTCGTGTCAGTTGAAATCCGACCGACTACATACGCCACCAAACAAATTTCGTCATTCCGACATTCGGAAATCTGATCGATTTTTGAAACTGCTCGGTTGGAGTCCGACTGAATCCACATCTCAATATTCTGACATTCGAAATCCCGACCGACTTTCGGAACTCTTCAGTCGGGACACGACCGAAGTTTTTCCGAATCCACCGAAATTCCGTAATTTTTCGGAATCTACTGAAAAGCTTAAAAAACGCTAAAGTGAAAGTCCAAAATTGTTCAGAACGTCCATAGATAAACTCGTACACTTTGACAAATGAAAAGTCTGCAGCTACCAGGACCACATATTCCTACGGTATACACTTTTGTAACGACTGATTCAACGTCTGAATGCAGTTATATAACAAAAATTTATCAAAATATCATGGCAACAAGAATATACACATCAGTGGTTACGAATCTATACTTTTGCTAGAAATCATTGTGTATCAATTCTGATCAGAAAACAACATCTTCGGAATGTTAAAACTACCTTTCAACTGCAAAAAATGATTCAGAAAAGAAACACCCTCCAAATGAAAAACACTTAAACAGTAGAGAAATAATCAACAAGTAGAAAATTTTGAAATACATTTCAAAAACGAAAATAATACATTGTAATGAAAAGTGACGGTGCGTTTGAAAAACAGATTCCATTTAAAAATATACATTCCAAGATGACCAAAAATTCATTGTAGAGTAATTCACATAACGACCTTACGATTACATTATTATAAGGTGAAGTGTATTATTACTTACGATACTCATGACATTATTATAATAAAAGAAAGTTAACGTGTTGTTGTTAAAATTTTATTAAAAATCGTATTTTCGTGGATATGTATCCCAGCTTAATTATTACACTTACTGTCTCCCACTCAATAGAGTTTTCTGCTTAACCTTTCACTGCATATATCCGGGGTTGTATGGTGTTACATTAGAACAAAACACTCCGGTCGAAAAATATTTTAAGTGAGCAAAACAAACATTGCACTCGAGAATCCTTCTTGCATGTTTTTGGTAAATTGAGATCTGAAGGCTAATGGTCACCATTATCAACTGAGCAAAACATGAGACAGGTTGTCGGCTATGCTGACAGCTCAGCAAGCCAAACAGTTAAACATAACTCTCCCTCACTGGGCAATGTTTTAGAAAAGAAATCACCATCGAAAATGGTTGATGCTCATCAGTAAGCAAGTATGCAAGTAGCGTTTCGTTTATCCTTTCTTCACAAGTTCGTGTAATGCGCCCGCCCTCATTCCACTTCCTTCTGTTTCTCCGCTGCATTTAC